ATCATGTAATACAAAAATATGAGAAACAAAAAGTGACACCTCATAATATTGTTTTTATTTCATCAAATAACAATAATTTTAACAGACTGTAGTATTGCAACATACCCAGCAATTTTTGTGAGAGATTTAACAGTTGTGAGCCTTGTAATCTCATTCCTAAGCCTGTCTAAGAAAATAGGCAAACAAGTTTGGAGCTCCGCCTGTAATTGGTCACCCAAGTTACAAATAATTTGGCCCCTGAGAAAATAAAATAAAAATTTTTTAATCAATATGCAGATAAAAAAAATAAAACCTTTCAGTTAAAACGAATGTAAAAATGAACTTCTCAAGTTTATAAAACCAAAAAAATTATCACATTCTCACTATAATGCATGAAAAATTATCTGTATCTCTGTAGAATCATTCTGAGATAAGCGCACCACTGAATGAGGTATCACAAAGAAAACAAATGTTCCCTCTATCTGTAATCAAAAGACAAATTTCACAAACTGTCATATATATTTAGTCTTCCCATCCTTGAGACAGATTTAATAATCTAGCACAAATTATTATCAAATATTAATTGATAAATGTTCATGTTCATCTGCATGTAGTCCAACAACAAAAAATCTTACAAATTGTGATATAACTAACTTTTTATCACTCTAAATACAAGATAATGATGGAAATGATTATAACAAATATCAAAATTTCTAAAAATAAAGGTTATTATTGTTTATAGCTACATTTATTTACTGCCCAAGAACTAAAATTATAGCAAGTACATAAATACAGTATTTTTTAAAAGTCATAAGCTATGGTTATTGTGACCTTCCCTATTTCTACTGAGCCTTACTTTGCTATATGAGACTGTGGAAAACGCAAGATAACCTTAACCTTTGATAAATTTTTTATGCAGAGTATTTATAGTGAGTACACTGGAAATATCAGCAACTGTCTGTTGTAGAAAAAAACACAAGTGTAGAGGACGATGTACCGAAAATCTTCCATTTTCTTCAGGTCTTTTATAATATTGTGCTCACCTCTAATCCCGAATCACTGTTGAGTGAAGGCTTTATTGTATTGATGTAGACACAAAATAAACTGAGATAAAACTAAAATCATCAAGTTTTGGAAGACAAAAAAATTTAAAGAATCTTTCTACATCAATACAATAAAGCCTTCACTAAACAGAGGCTTGGGATTTGAAGTGAGCAACCTATGGCTACCATTGGTTGAAGCCACATGCACCAGTCAGAACAACAAATTACAACACGTCCTCCACAATCCACCAGGACACTATAAAAGATCTGCAACAGCTTACACACACACACTGACCTGAAGACAGAAGACTTTCGATACATCATTCTCTACACATGTTTTTTTCTACAACAGGCAGTTGCCACCTATTCAAGTGTACTCATAACCTTAATCATTACATAAATTTAGTTTGGATATTTTAAACGTATCTACTTGAACTAAAAAAAAAACCTTTGATAAGTTTTCTAAGCATATAAGTTCCTTATAGCCACACCCACAACTCACATATATGATATGCTGTTCCCGATCTTTAACAATATAATTTTTCCTGAACACATAAAACCATACATTTACAATATTAAAATATTCATAGCAATAACCTTCAATTATCTACACACATTTATAATAATTCATTAATCTCTTTAATGCATTAATAAAAACTGATTTTATTTGTTAGCATGATAAAAACCTCCACATAAGATTAAATAAATACAATTACATGCAAGAGATAGCTCTCTCCTTCACTTCTTGGTCTATATCTGCAGCTTTGAGCCTCACGTGGGTACACCGATACAGGTCAGCAACAAAAGGGGTGAAATTAAACGTAGTCACATGGTCTTTGAAACAGAAACACAAAGAATATTACTGCCATGAGTATAACTATATTACGATCACAGAAAGCACTAAATATATTTAAATAACATCAAAAAGTACATTATATTAAAATATCCAATCAAAATGTTTATTTTAAACAGACTTTAAATGAATGAGTATAATAATATCAAAGAGCAAATAACCTTTTGATTAACATATTTTCAAGAATAATTATCCTGTAGATTGATTCTCATTCTCCTAGTTAAAGTTCCTTAAAAATTATTATTCTAAAACTTGATTAATATACATTAATATATTCAACTACAATTATACGTCAGAATGTACCCAAAACAATTTCCTTTAAACACAGTGCTTTAGGAAAACAGAATCACAAATGAACAAAATTACCCTTATAGACAATTACAGAATACTACTTAATGCTGTTCATTCTTTATAAAGGGGCTCAACCAATAAAGACAGGCATTTGATTTAACCCTCTCCGGATGGGTCATGGGTCAAAGGCCGCGTCGTCACATTTATTGACTCGTATTCAAAATTTTATTGAACTACTATTTCATGAATTTCTGTCAATAAGTTTGGTATCCCACTTGTAGCTTATAATTCAAATTTTAGTATTATACATTAGTGAATTTCTTAATTTAAAATTAAATATTAAAAAAAAACAGTTAAACATTGATTTTTGTGTGCCACGTGGTATGTTGAATGCAGCACTGGTTCAAATGAAATGTTTGTGAAGTCAAAATACAAAGTCTATAGTTTTGTATGAATTAGGAACTCAGATTACCAATATTGACAAGCTAGAATATAAAATAAGAACCTCCTATCTTTTACCTTTGCTGATATATCACTCATGTAATGAATCAAACACAGTGGCCCCTCTCACCTCTTTCCATTTTTGGAAACAGTCCCTTATGTATACTTACTTCAATATATGACATGTGAATAACCATTCGAAAGCTCAGGATGTTCCCCTAGCGGCTTTCTCAGCCATTTTCATGTGTTAGGACACCATCTCTTTCTTTCAAATCAAGATTT